AGTAGAGAATAGGATGACCTGCATGCTTTGGTCCATGGGGGTCACAAAGAAGTAGGACATGACTGAAAAAAATTATTAGGGAATTTTTCCTTACATCAAGCTTAACATTCTTCTTTGCACATTCCACTCACTGATACCTGACTTTGTTTCTAATTCTTTGCTATTATAATTAAGATTGTGGTATGTATGGAACTTAGAATTCTGACTTTGACATTCCTGATGTATGTATGTAACAGTGAGATCTCTGGGTCAAAGAGCATGGGCATTTTGATCACTTTTTTAAAAAAAGTGTAGTTTCACATTGCTTTGTATTATTTGGTTCTCCACTCAGCTGTCAAAAGAGACTAAAGTGCAGGTTTAACTATGTCACCCCCAGGCCCCTAAGAAATGTTCTTTAGAGGCAACCTTTCATTTCCTCTTCAGGGGTGAGACCTAACCTTCCATTCCCCATCATTGTTTTTATCCAGTTCTATAATGCCTCCCCATTTGTGAAAAGACTAAGGAAATTACTGTATCTTTTCACTGTGGAATAGATGTAGGTACATTTTCAGCTCCCTTTTGTTTGTTGCCTTCCATTTCCCCACTCACATATCTTCCTACTTTGTTCTATTCCTGGCCCCCCAAGATATGGATTTGTTTTAGGGGGAGAACAATTTAGTCCATTGATTAATTTCAAATCATCAACTAATTCTTTAAGGTTTCCTTAAATTTTTAGTCCCTTAGGAAATTTATGTTCTTTTTGTTTGTTCCTATTTTTAATTTTTTTCTTAAAAAAAATGATAGCTTAAAGATAGCAGAATTGATTAGTTTTTTTTTTCCCTTTGTAACTACATACTTGCCTTTTTTGTGTTGTCACTTATCAGGTATCTGGAATGTTTATAAGTTAAATATTCTGCTCATTTTTTTAAAGTATGACCTCATATGCCTCTTTTTAGTTGAAGGTTCAATTTTTCTCCGATGATTTACACTTAGCTTTGCAGAACATCATTTTGGGTTAAAGACTGAACATTTTTGCTATTTAGAGTATCTCATTCCATTCTTTCTTTGATTTCTTGTCACTGAAGAGAAATCCTGAGTAATTCAAATTGATGTTCCTTCACAGTTGATGGTATTTCACCTGAATGCTTACAAAATTTATCAATGGAATTGTTACAGTTAACCATCTTGTTACATTGAGTTTTAAGCATCATTGTATTTCTCCACTGATGATCAGTTCAGTAATTTTTTGTTGATATTCAGTTCTGGGCAGTTACCTTATATTTCCTTAAGTAGGATACTCAGAGTTTGTTTTTGTTTTTTAATCATATTCTTTTGGAAGACTTACAGTCCTTAAATTGCTTCTGTGTTTTCCGTCTTCAAGTTCAGTCATTCTGGCTTGTGTAGAATTCATGGGTCCTTTAAAATTATTGCCTTTTGCCTCTCTATTACCAAATTTTGTTCTACTTCTGTATTTCTGTAAATCTGTCAGTTTCTAAGAGTTCTTCACCACTTGGCCCCAAGTTACCTTTACAGTTTTTTTATTTTTAATTTTTTTTTATTTTTTAAAAAATTTTATTTATTTTTAGTTTTCAACATTTACTTCCATAAGATTTTGAGTTTTAAATTTTCTCCCCTTCCCATTTCTTCTCCTCACCCCAAGAGTGTACCATCCAAAATAGGCTCTACATATACATTCCTATTAAGCATATTTTCCCATTAGTCATGTTGTAAAGAACAAATAAAACTAATAGGAGGAACCACGAGAATGAAGCTATAAAACAAAACAACAAAAGGAGAGCAAATAGTATGCTTCCATCTGCATTCAGACTCCATATTTCTTTCTCTGGGTGTGGATAGCAATTTCCATCATGAATCTTTTGGAATTGTCTTATATTCTTGCGTTGCTGTGAAGAGCCATGTCTATCAAAGTCAGTGATGCCATAATGTAGCTGTTACTATGTACAATGTTCTCCTGGTTCTGCTCATTTCACTGTGCATCAGTTCATGTAAGTCTTTGCAAGTTTTTTTGAATTCTGCCTGCTCATCATTTCTTATAGCAGAATAGTATTCCATTACATTCATATACCTCAACTTGTTCAGCCATTCCCCAATTGATGGGCATCCCCTCAATTTCCAATTCTTTGCCAACACAAAAAGAACTACTATAAGTATTTTTTGTACATGTGGGTCCTTTTCCCATTTTTATAGCCCTTTGGGCATAGCCCCAAATTGCTCACCAAACCACCAATGTATTAGTGTTCCAGTTTTCCCACATCTTCTCCAACATTTATCATTGTCCTATTTTGTCATGTTGGCCAATCTGCTAGGTGTGATGTGGTACCTCAGAGTCCTTTTGATTTGCATTTCTCTAATCAATGGTGATTTAGAATATTTCTTCATATGACTATAGATAGCTTTAGTTTCTTCCTCTGAGAACTGCCTGTTCATATCCTTTGATCATTTTTATCCCATTTATCATTTTGGGAATGATTTATATCCCTATAAACTTGAACCTTTATAGTTTTTAAATCAATTACTGTCCTTCACGTTCTCTATAGTGCAGCTATAATGGCACTCTTAATGTATAATGAGAGTACATACAACACTTGTTTTCTGATTTCTGCACCTTTGCACTGGCATATTCCTTGTGCCTGAAATGCATTCCCTTCCACTTCTTCCTCTTAGAATTCCTATTCTCCTTTAAGACTAAGCTTAAATACCACCTTTTACATGAGACTTTTCCTGATCCCCCAGCTTCTACCATTCCTAAGGGCAGAGATTTTCATTTTTCTTTATTTGTATCCCTGGTGACTAGCATATGGTGGTAGGCACTTAAAAAGGCTCACTGGTAATTAACTTATTGAAGAGTCTCCATTGTAAGATCTATATTCTATATCTTGTTCTTTGTCTTTAACCCTTTATTGAGAGTTCTGATTTCAGACCCAGTTTCCATTCTAGTATATTCTTTTAAGAGTTTTTCCCTCTTGAACCATTAAAAAAATTCTTGCAGTAGTTTTGATTTCTGGAGAGTCCACAAAAGTTTTTGTTTTTTTTTTTTGGCAAGGCAATTGGGGTTAAGTGACTTGCCCATGGTCACACAGCTAAAAGTCTTTTTTTTGTTGATAATTTTGGCTAATTTTCCTTCATGGTGTAATATGTGTTGAATGTATTTTGGCCTTAAATTTTTTTAACTCATTTTTCTTTGGTCTTTCCCACTCTTTGGTGATTTATCTACTCACAAACTAGGCTTTCTCCCTTTGACTTTTGGTTTTTCTTTTATTCCTGTTGGCTCTTTTCTGAATTCCCTCCTTATCCCTTGCCCTTTAGCCCTTCTTCCTTCCACTTCCAAAGTCTATGTTAGGAATAGCTGGCAAACTGTGGGTGACTTCAGATAGGTTTCTAGTCCCCTTTTCCCTCTAGCCAACCCTCCCTACACTGCCTTGTTTTCTTCTCCATCTTCTCTCCCTTTCCTTCAGGTGTCTAGGCAGGTACACTGCTTCCTCCTGAGGAATGTGTGAAAATCATTGCTGTGGGGGAAATGGGAAGTGATCATAATAGCCCAAACCAGAAGCACAAGCCTATCTGTGAAACAGCCTGCACTGCCAGTATCTAGAGATGTCTTGAAATGGGGATGGGGAAAGTTGAGTAAAATTTGGTACCTTTACACATTTTCAAGGCAAGGCAATATTATACAGTGGATTTAAAGAATTGGCCTTAGGGTCAGGAAAACTTGTGTTCAAGCTTATCTCTGATACATATTGTGTGTGAACATGGGCAAGTCAGTCTTTTAATGACAAGCAATTCTAAATATTATAAATTACAGAATCACCAATAAACTGCTTTGGAAAAGGAAGTTTCCTACATCATTGAAATCACAAGTATGGATAAAAAATGTTTAATTCTCTTATTTCTGTCAGTACACTGTGCAGGGTGTTGGGTGAAACAAAAATAAAAAAATTACATCCTTGCCCTCAGTGAGCTTATATTTTAATGAGCAAAGGTAGGTGGCTTGTCTTCCTAATATGCAGCTGTAACAAATTTGGGCTGCTTACTCTTCACAGGCTCTGTAGAAGGGTGGGAATATAGTTTTTATTGGACAAAAAACTTAGAAGATAGCATCCTTTCATCTAGCTTGTCTGGATGAGCCACATTTAAGCCTCACTTAAGACCACCACTGTAATATCCAGCTGCAGAACACAAGAAGTGGTAACTTAAAAAAGCAACAACAAAACAAAACCGGACTCTGATTATTTACCAAATTACTGCTTAATTCCCCAGGGAATGATATTAGGTGTGTGGGTTTTTTTTTTTTAGCAGTGAAGATGCTCCATAAATGTTTGCTGAATGAAAGAAGTATTGTGTTTTGCTTCTTTCAAAAATTCAGTTTATGAAGGCATTTACAATTTTGAATTATGAGGTGATCTCTGCTGTCCCTCTTCTGCTCACTGAGAGAAAAACACAGATTTCATGTCAAAATACTTTATAGTGTCTGTTTAGCACCTGACAGCTGCCTCTTGTTTTTCAGGCTTTTTCTGTTGATTACCCTACTGCTTAAATTAAATAAATCAAAACACTGAAACCATTTGTTGATGAAGTGCAAATTTTCATTTTATTACTTATCTAAAAATAGACTTCAGCAATAACAACAATATACCCAAATGCTGGTTACTATAACAAAAGAAAAGGAAAAACAAAAAGAAAACAAAAATTTGCTTTAAAAATATTTCTAAAAAGACAAAATTAAAATTGTTTTAAGATGCTGCCAACTCTCAGTTACCTATATTTGACACACCTATGTGTTATCGATGGCCTGTTTTTAAAGCTTGAGCCAGTTTCTGCCCATCACCCACCTGTGCACCTGATCTGCCTTCATCTGTTATATCCAGTTAGCCAAATGCAAACCAATTTTAATAAATGCCTAAGTCAACATAATTAAGAAAATAAATACACAATCAAAAACCCAGAATGTAATCCAAAGTAAAATAAAAATTACTTCTCATTATCTGTATTAGTTCCCCTAATTTTTTTTTGTTGGGGGGGGGAGGGAAAGGTAATGGGAACAGATAATCAAGAGCTGACTTTTGGAAATAATGGTATTTTCATATTAACAAATTACATTGTCATGTAAAGAATAGGACAAAAGCAATATCTAAATTCTTTAGAAGCACAAGACAAAGTAGAACATTTCAAAGCAAATAATGATACTCAGAGTTTCAGGAGTTTGTCATCTTGAAAGTGCAACACAAGTCTTTTAGAAAAACTCAGGAGGCCTGCTCCACACAAGTTCCTGTAGACTTCAAACAACAGGCTCACAGGGTGGGCATGGAACAAACAGAATACAGCCCCATTCCTGCACCAGACCTGGGAAGAAGGCCTTCCTATTCTCTCATCTTATTTTCCAGAGGAAGAAACAAAAGCATTGAGTAGTTGAATGACCCATGCAGGGTCAGAGAAGTCAGCAGCACATAACTCAGACGTGCCTGTCTGGCCTATCTGTCCATCTCTTTCCTCAAAGTATGCAGATGTGTGCCATATAAAATCTTTCCTACTAAATGCAGTGTCAGACAGACTCTCACTGCACAGTCTAGTCTTTGGGATCAGTGGCTATGGTCCTACATTTATACATCCCTTAGCCACTGTGTACAATAAGAAGGCATAGTATTTTAATGTCATTTGATGCCTAGATTTGCTGGAAACAAGAACTGGTTAGAAAAATATTCCTTATGCTCCTGTTAATTCCAAGTGCATCTAAGGAAGTCTTCATTGCACCCTAGATACATGGATTTTATGGTGGCTTACTTTGGTTGCCTGATACCCCAATCTTGACTTGCCCTGAGATTCACATGCTGGGCTACACACTTGGTCAAACACAGAGAGTAACCCTGGATACTTAAATTACTCCTAATTATGCCCAACAATACTTTTATTAATATGAATGTCCCAGGAATGCACTGTGCTTTCATTAGTATAGTATCCCTACTATATACACTGTCCTAAAGAGGCCAAGAATCACAAAAAGAGCAAAGGTGTTTGTTTTAAATGAGGGTGGGAGAGACTTCCTTAGACGTTTCTGAATATAGCTGAAACAGAAGCAATTTCCAGTGGCAATCTATATTTTCACAGCATTGTTAAAAAAATCTACAGTGTGAGCTCTTTCCTTTCATGCCAGTCTGATTTGTTTGCTCCTAACAGCTAGTCTGTAATCACATCATGTAAAACATAATTCACTAAAACCATGGCAAGGAAAAGTAAAAATAAGATTGCCTATCAACTACCATTAAAAGCTCAAATGAAGTACTTAAAAAATAAAAATCCAAAGTCCCAGCTGGTACCTTAATGGAACACAGCTCAGGTAAAACTCTGAAGCAAAAATTCTGGATTACTCTTAAAAGTTTGGGGTTTCTTTGTGGAGGGAAGGCTTGGAGAGGGATTTTAATAAACTGCACTGAATTCTGTGTGTATTGTTAGCATGAAGAAATAAGGGCCACATTTTGAGACTGATTATAATTAGCACCCCCAATCTCTGCTAGCTGGTGTGGTAGTTTCTGCTTTATCTACATCATCGGCAAACTGGAAGGCTTCTGGTTTCTGGAGTATTCCAGCAGCTAGAAGTTATGTGCTCCCAAGGTAAGGGCACTTCCAAAGACAGAGTCATGATCAACCAAGGCAGCAGTGGTCCCTCCCCCACCCCATGTGGACAGATGCCCAGATGATATCCCTGTCTTTCCATGTGGATGCCTTCCAGTTGCTGACTCTATGGAGCCAATTCACAGCACCATGAATGGCTTTTACTGTGTCAAAACTCATTTGTTTGTAAGTGTATCTGTGGGAAGAGGATACATGCTTTGTGTAATTTGTGTGATCTTGAAATTGTCAAGCCTTTTCATTAAGAAACAAACGAACAGGGAAACAAATGCAACAACCCTTTTTTACCTTTAGTGACCATGAAGAAGTTTTACATTCACAGAATATAGTTTACTTGGTAGGTATGGTCTGTTTATATGCTTTTCAAAAGGGAGACATTTTCTGAAATTAATGATGAGGGCTGCATTGTCTTCTTCCTTTGCTTTGGTTCTTGGATGGTTTTCTTTAAATGATAGCATCATGTTCATCACTGTAACAACATGAAATACTAGAATTACTCTCAGTTTTGTAGTGGTACTAAAAATACTTGATTATTCACATTCATTAAGAAAGTTGCCTTGCAGGAGAGTTTAAATCCTGACAATCTGGATTCATTTCCATTGCTCTGCCTCATTTCTTACATAAAGATAAAGGTATACTTGACTATAAGAAACAGGAAGCTAAAAATCCTAGTCAGCATTCCCAAATTTTAGCTATTTTTTTTTTAATTCAAGGAACTATTAACTTCTCTATGGTACTTCTTGGATGCTTCTTCATGGGGTAGATGTGGTTCTGAGTTCTTAGAGGCTAGGAGAGTTCTTATCTCCTTAAGTGGTAGAGTTTATCAAGTATACGCCTGGTGCCAGACTGCACGCAACCTGAGGACCAGCCTCACTAAGTTGAGATTTATCACTGTGTAGACATCATATGGTGATTTTATTTTTGGTGAGTGCAACTCATGACAGATATCTACACTAAGGTACAGATAGGAAGAAATCTCCACTGTGGAGGGAGTACCCATATGGATGAAATCATGCATGCTTCAAGTATTAAGAAAAGCCTATGACTTCAAAATTGTAAAAACCTCTAATTCTTTGGCTTCTAGAGTACAGGAACTATATCTTTTTTTTTTTTTTGGCTAGGCAATGGGGTTAAGTGACTTGCCCAGGATCACACAGCTAGTAAGTGTTATGTGTCTGGGGTCACATTTGAACTTAGATCCTCCTGAATCCAGGGCCTGTGCTCTATCCACTGTGTCACCTAGCTGCCCTGAGGAACTATACCCTATTTAAAACAAATGTATTTACTTTAGTGCTTAGCAAATAGAGTTTACTATCAAATCAGATTACTAAATGACAGTAGTAATAATGGCAAACATACATACAGTGCTTCCTATGTGCCAGGCACTGTGCAAAGCACTTTACAATTATCTGATCCTCACAAGCACCCTGAGAGGTAGGTGCTATAATTATCCCCATTTTACAGATGAGGAAACTGAGGCAAGCAGAGGTTAAGTGACTTTCCCAGGGTTACACAGCTAATAGGTATCTAAGGCCAGGTCTTTCTGACTCCAAGCCCAGACCACTGCAACACCCAGCTGCAGATTACAACTAAACCCAATCACTACTAAATGAATTTACTTTAAAGCCAGAACATAATGGAAGAAATAAAATTCCTTTTTTTTCTGTACAGATTTTATTTCACTACATACTGACTATGAAAACCAAGCTTCCCTGGACAAGGGGTGTTCCTGCCAGCAAAGATCCACTGCTCTGAGGGAGATCACTGATCTCATGGCAATTCATAAGCAGATGGGCAATTAAGTGAGGAAAGACCAAGTCTGTCAAAGTTAAAATTACGCATGTTCCCCTGAAAACAATGGTTTCAAGAAGAAACGCAAAGCTGGAACAAAATTACTACACCAGTTGCTAGCTTTACAAATTCTGATCTCATAAAAGATGAGTGGCATTTAAATATGACAAATATAATCAAATCATGACTTTTAGTTTGCTGGTAGGATTTGGAAAGCGATAGATTACAAAAATTCTGAGCATATTTTAAAAAGATTCAATATTCAAAAGTATTTCTAGGCTGACTGGGTTTGAGTCACATCAGACATTTTCTTTATAATCAGTGGGCCGGCCAAACACACACACACACACAAAGAATGCATTTGTCCAAATTTGCATCTAATTTGATAAAACACCATTAAAAACTAGATTTTTTTTTAAACCATACGACAGTACCTCAGAAGATTATTAGCCTTTTGTGTTGTGGACTCTTTTGGTATTCTGAGGAAGCTTATGGACCCCTCCTCAGAATGTTTTTAAGTACATTAAGATAAAGCAGGATTACAGTGGAATATACAATTATACAGAAAATTAACAAAATCTTTTTTCTTAAAAAAAAGTTCATGGATCCTAGGTTAAGAACCTCTACTGTTGCAGAAGAATAAAGAACATGCCATGGCATTTCTCCATTAATTTTCTGAACATCTGTTTGTATCTGAGTGATTATTGATCTTGAAAACTCTTAATATTTCTATTTAAGAATTTTTAAATTACACATTTATTATTCTGATGAATTATGAATAACATTTATACAGAAACACATTTCTATATAAATATAAGCTATTTGGTAAGATTTAACACTTTAACATTTAAGTCTTTGTAGAATGATAACTGAAAGCATAAGACTATAAAATCCTTCCATTAACCCTTTTATAAATTTATGGAAGTAAAATATTGATAACACTGAGGCTGTCCTTAGTTCTGTTCATTAGTGGCAAGACATAATCTCTGGAGCAGTGGATGTGCCTTGCATTCATTGTAGTGGGGAAAGCGACGCTCCAGTGGCCCCTTGCCCTCTAGATTGACTCCTCTGCTGCCCAATCCTGTCTCTGCTGCTCTTTCCAGAATCTACTGTCTCTTGTCTATGCTCCACGCAGAGCAGCTGTTCCTTAGTGACTTCCTGGGGCCTTTCTCATCAATCACACTACCCTATCAGAACCTTGCCTGTGTTAGCTTGTTACCCGTAAGGTAGCAGTGGCACGTAGAGGGGATGGTTTAGCACTCTGGAATGAGGGTGAAGATAATGGATTTGATGGGGAGGTAAAAGCTATAGGTGCCTTGCTGACCCCAGACCTGACCACGTGGGAGAATAAGCAGCTTTGGTTTCCTTAAGCTCAAAAACTTTTTGAACTGAGACTATAAGTAAAAATCCAGAGATCTAGTTTCATTGTGTGGTATGACTAATGACCAAAAGACAGTAAAATGTCCAAACAGGAAAGAATAGGTAATCGATTAAACTTATATTCACAATTTATGCTTAAGTGTAAATATGTTCTATGTCCTTTGTTTAAAGAACAAATATTACCCTTGTTCAAATTAAAATCAATCTGAACTTGAAAATGCATGTGTAGTTATGGTCACCCAACCTTAGATAATAACAACAGAGGTTAACATTTATTTAGTGTTATAAAGCGTGCACTCTACATACTTAATTTTTTTTTAGTCACAGCAATTTTATGAAGGGAAGTACTGGGTGTCCCAAAAGTCTTAGTACAATTTTAAGCTTTAGTAACTTCAGAAGTATAATTCTCACACACTTACAAATATAACTTGACAGTTTAATGATTTAAGTTTACTCTATATTTATTTAATTTTGTGGATTTTGACTAATAAAATTTTCAATTTAATTTTAGCAAGATGAGAGACCTTGTCGTTATGCATTGTGTGTGTACCAGTTTCTGGATGGCACTTTTCTCAGACCAGGGCCTCGCCATTTCGGTCATCTAATCTGTTTCCATCAGACTTTTTCTTGGGTAGGAGTGGGGGAGGGGGGGTCACATCAAATCTGTTATATATGCATTAAAACTTCATTCTTCCAGGTGGCACAGTAGATAGAGCACCAGCCCTGCAATCAAGAGGACCTGAGTTCAAATCCTACCTCAAGACACTTACTAGCTTTGTGACCCTGGGCAATTCACTTAATCCCAATGGGGGGGAAAGGGGAGAGAAAGAACCAAAAAAACATTCTTCATATGAGCTTAAGGCTAGGAGTATTAATGAAATCCTTTCATTCACTGAGAAGCAGCTGATAAAAGTTTTTATAGGGTTCAGAAATTGACCAAAGCATGTATAGCACAAGATGGTGGTTATGTTGAATTGTAATAAATATGCCAATATTTCAAAATTTAACATTTCAATCTTTTCTGTTAACTTTGTGTAGGATTTATACTTCTGAAGTTATTAAAACTTAAACTGTACTAAGACGTTTGAGATTCCCTACATAAGAATCTCCATTTGACAGATGAGGAAATTGAGGCTCAGAGAGGTTTTTGTGACTTGCCCATACTCTTGCAGCTCTATTAAGTGTCAAGTGGGATTCAAACACAATTCTTACTGACTCCAAGTCAGTACTATTTACTGTACCGTCCTGCCTTTCAAGATAAACATAAAGAAGCTCCCAAAAATTCAGGGAAGAGCATCTAAATTGATCAAGGTAATAGATTAGCTCTGATATGGAGATACAATGCAATTCAACAAACTTTTATTAAGTGCCTACGACATACGTGGCAGTGTACCAAGGTCTTGGAGATACAAAGACAGCTATAGCATAGGCCCTGATCCCAAGGGCTTATAACACAACAGAGATCAAAAGAAACATGTATACACATAACAGAGAACATGACAGTGCCAAGAAGTGAGGTCTTAGCCAAGAACTATGACAAATTTGAGTAAAGTGAAATCACTTTCAGCTACGGAGAATGAGGCAAATTAAAGCTTCATGGAGCAGATACTTCTGTGAATTGGACCCTAAAGAAATAAGGGACTTTTAACAGTTGGAGATGGTTGTCCCATTCCAGATATGGGGAATCATGGGAGCAAAGACATAGGGCTTAGGAAAAGGCAAAAAAAGAAGAGAGGATGAGCAGTCTGTAACACTATTATCTAGGGAAATAATATAAAACTAAAAAATTGCAGTCAGATTGTAAAGACTTTTGACTACCAGAATTATAACAAAACACTTTAGGCTATGAAGAACCACTGAAGATTTTAAAATAGATGGTTGGTGAATAGAACAGGAAGGTGGTATGAAGGCCGAAATGGAGAAATGACAGACTGGACTATGGAAAACCCAATTAAGATGCATATATTATGACTGTTTAGTTAACAACAGTTAGGCAGTTATGAAAAAGTTTCAACAGGAGGGGAAAGAAGTGAATGGGTATGAGTATCCATTCAGATTTGTGTCTTCTGCCTTCCAGGCCAGGGCCTTACCTCTGATAAGGACAAGATATAATCGACAGATGAAGGTAGAGGAGAGGAAGGAATCATCATTCTGAAGTTATAAAATGGGTATCAAAATAGGATATCAAAAGAAAAACAGAACTTATGGGAAATTATGGGGGGAAGATGAAAAGCTTGGTTTTAGGCATATTGAACTTAATGTGTTAGCAGTATATCCTGGTAGAACTGGTCTACAAGCAGCAGAGGGTAGAAAAAGATCTGGCAATCACCTGAAAGATGTAATAAAATTGAAACCATGGGAGTAGTTGAGATCATCAAGGGTGAGGATGAAAAAGGTCAAGGACAGAAATTTGAGGAACACTGTCACTTTAGGGATTGGTGCAGGATACAGTGCCAGCAGAGGAAAGACAAGAGTGGTCAAGGCAGAAGAGCCTTGAGAGAAGACTGTTATCTTGGCAGTCAAAGGAGAATACTGAAGAGGGAATAATGCCAAGAGTGGCCAACTTTTCTTAAGGCAGCTAGGTGGTGCAGTGGAGACGCTGCCAGGCCTGAAGTCAAGAAGAATCCTCTTACTGAGTTCAAATCTGGCCTCAGGTACTTAGTAGCTGTGGGAGCGTGGGCAAACCACTTAAACACTGCTTGCCTCAGTTTCCTCATCTGTAAAATGAGCAGAAGAAGAAGGAGATGGCAAACCATTTCAGTATCTTTACCAAGAAACCCACCAAAAGGGGTCACAAAGAGTCTTAAACTAAATAACTCTTTCTTAAAATGCAGTAGTGAAGCAGAGAAAGAATAGAAAATAGCTTAGAAGTATAGCTGAACCAATATTTTACTAAAACTATAAAAGGAGACTAGTGTATTTGTAGAGGGAATGATTTATAATGTATGAACGAAATGGTGGGATGATTGCTAGAACAAAGTCCTGAAAAAAGATAGGAGATGATAAATAAGACTGAGGATATGGGTAGAAATAGCAAAACTGTTTTCCAAATTCAATTATGCCTTCAAGACAAGATGTTCCCCATGCCCAGAAAATACTTCCTCCTAACCTCCACTTCTTAGAATCCTAACTTCCTTCAAGACACAACTCAGCTACCACCTTTTATGTGAATCCTTTCCACATCCCACAAGTTATTAATATCTTCTTCCTACTTAAATGTCCAATATTTACTTATCCATGTAGATGCTGTATTTAACCCAAGTAAAATGTAAACTCTGGGTCATCCACAGAGCAGTCACTTAAAAATGTTTATTTCCACTGGATAAGATTGAAAAAAGATGAGGGATATGATGAAATTCTTGAGAACCCCTAAATGGTACACATAAGGTGAATACAGATTTTAGGGTCAAATTTAGAATACTAGAACAAGGAGTGCCTTAAACAAATTAATTTTTATGCAAATAAAAATAAGTTATTTATAACCATCATTTACTGTTAATGGCTCTAAGGGAAAAGGGAACATGGAGCAGTCAATGGAGATAATATGGAGAAAAAGTACTATGTTCTCCCCCAGGTCTGAATTTGGTGCCACCCTCAAATACAGAATACTGAGCTAGATAGATTACTAGATAGATAGATTCAATATGGACAAGCCTTCAAAAGGCTTTTACTTTGTTAAAGCCTTCTGCCTTGATCAGTGGTGTTAGCAAATGAAAGCATTTGCTGACCTTGGTTTCTCTGTATAAAATGCAAGACTTGTGAAATTCACATGTACTTGTAGAATGTTGACATTCTTTCAACCATTGATGGCCATGCTCGTAAGAAGACCTCTCTAAACAACTTTAGGAATGGTGGTATAAAGAACACTGTTCCTTTAAGACATTTTTATGATGAAAAAGATAGAAATTATTTTTGTAAAGAGAAAGATTCATATTGTTGAATGTTGTAAGACATTACCACTGTTAAAGATGAACACTTTGATATCTAAAAGGAACAGGAAATTTTTTTTTCTAGAAATAAAAATTGCTAATATGTATGTAAAGAAATACAGTTTTTGGATGGGATCTGAACAGTTTTAGAGAAAATAAACAGTTCTTGAAAGATGTATCCCTTTTGTGAATGATGTAGAATGATGTCTCACTTTAAGTTCAAACAATCTTAAAGAGATTTTTAAATTTATCAATAACGGGAAGAAATATTAATAGAAGGAAAAACAGTTTTAAGGACACCAAAGAGAATTTGGACCATTTTTAAGCTTTCTGGGCTGCAGAGCCTTAGGGTACCTCAGCTCATCTGCACAGGTATGTTTTATGACTACAGAGAATAAAACTTAGAAAAATGAGAAATCATATAATTAGATACTGAGGTGCTATTTTTTTTAAAGGACTACTGATTTGATGAGAAACTTAAGGAATTGTGATTTTTTGAGTGAAAGGTGAGTCACTGAGCATCAGGAATCTTTCACTTAAGCCACTGAATGCAGAGGAACTGTTTTTTAGGACCCAGAGAGATAAAAGAAGAAATTGACATAGGTTCTCTCTTTCTCTGAGAAGAACTGAAACCAGAGCAGGACAGGCTGGAAAAGCTGTTGGAACTGTGGCAGTCGGAAGCAATCAGCTGACAGAAAGCTTCAGCTGAGGGATTCTTGATCTGTGGAAATGAGATTTGACTTCACAGGCTAAGAGAGTGACAGCTACTGCCTTTCAGTACCATCTCAAAGGAGAGGTAAAGTCCTGGTTACTCTCTTCTGCTACCTCTGGCTGGAGAAGGAAAAGCAGAGAGGCACTTTGCAGCTGCTTTGATAATACGGGGCTGGCTGGGTTTGTTTGCCTGGTTTAAAGAGTCAACTTCTGATTTGACAACACAGCACTTGGGTGAGTGAATTATTGGCTAGACTGGTCTACAGAATCTAGAGATGATGGGTTTGATGAACTTTTCAGTTCTTTGGCTTAAAGAGAACTGGCATTCATATAAAGAGGTAACGCCTTTTAAAGGTCTTTTAAGGTTGATGGTAAATTGAGGGCTTGAAGAGTGGTGAGTATCAATAGTCAGACAATGAACAGAGAAGCAGCTTCTTATGGTTATGGCTTAGCAGACTGCCTGGCACATAGCAGGGGCTTAATAAATATTTAGTGACTGACTGATGCTTCTGAATGACTCCAACATAGCAAAACCTGCTGACCAGAGTTGTGAATTACTCTGAACACATAGGTTTTCCCACCTCATGTACTTCCTCTGCCAGAATCCTGTAAGTGTACACCCACTCTTCAACATAAAACACTCAGTATATTGGTGAGAGAATGTGATCCAAGTTTAGATATGTATACCGCAAAATGTTTTCATTATTATTTAAGCACTAACTTTAATGTTACTATTACTGTTATTATTTATCTTGCTTTTAAAGAAAGATCTTTTAATTTGTAGATACATTAACTATTTATTTAAATTTGTAGTTATGTTTAAGATCTAAAAGTGCCATTATCGTAACTGACTGTTTAACTTACCATGCACAGTGTGAATGAGTTACCTTGTGTATGACTGGCTGTGTAGACAAAATATGTAGACATTGTATGAGGGCTCAAGAGCTAAAGTACTAAGTAGGGAGAGTATTATTTACCTTCAGCAGATTTATCCATAGGTCCTTGACAGAGTTTGTGTATAACCACATGGTATTTGGACTATGCTGGGAACTCAGAATTGTTAACAGGAGGGCAGGCTGGAATGACTGAGCCAACCCAAAGAAAGAGTGGTGTGTCAACACATTCTGTGAGAAGGATGACATTTATATATTGTGTGACATTGGTGAGAGGCTTTTCACATCACATATCACTCACCTTACCATGACCCCTGTTATAATTGGGGGAGCCTTGTGTGGGATGTTGTCTATACCTCCACTGCTGTCTATACCACCACCTGTGGCATTACCAAAGTGTAAATTACAGATACAGTTTTGCTCATAGTTTTTCCTTTGTTTTGGACATTATTAGACAGATTTCAGCATTTAGCCATATAATACACATTTAAAAAAGAAGACACAATGTCCCAATATGTTCAAACTTACATGGTTCTATATCGAATGCCTCTTGAATAATACGTTTTGCATCCAATGTAGAGGATAGATAAAACTCCCAGAGTTAGTACGATGCCACCGACAAAGCTGCCGATATCAAATTTTGATCCTTTGTTCATCTGGGCATTGATGTTGGCTGTGACTAAGACAAAGGGGGAAAATGCGGGTTTTAGCATTTGGTTTTTCAACACTGTATTAACCAAAAATCCTTCTGAATTTTAGTGCCAGGAAATCTAGTCTCACTGTGTTGGGATAACAAAAGGGCTTCCTTGGTCATGTAGCTCATCTCTCGTTTCTTTTATCTTTATCTATACCCTTCCTTTAACCGAAATCTCTAAGAACTCTAATTTGAAACAGATCTCCAGTGCTATTTAGGTTCAGGTCCTGGTAATCTTGTATCTTGGGATCAATTCTTGAAAGTCTCATATTCTACTAAGAACCAGAAGGCAAATTATTTGGTTTTCTGTATAGTAATTTACATGTACAAAAAAATAATAATAGTGAACATTTACATAGTGCTTACTATATGCCAGGCACTGTGCTAAGTGTTTTACAACTATTATCTCATTTGATCCTCACAAGAATCCTGAGAAACAGGTGCTATTATGTATGCAAGGTGGATTTTGTTATTCTTTTATAGATAATAGTTCCCAGGATGCATGACCATAACAATCTATTAGTTCCCACGATTTCACATTGTAAACAATTTCTACTGCTACTGTGCAGTGAGATATAACAAATGAGATAATATGAACATTTGAGTTCAATTGTAAATAACCCACTGTATGTGTGCTATGCTACCTCATCATGATATTGCTAAAGTTAATGTAAACTTGTGAGGCTACTGCTGGCAATTTTGCCTTCTTTGTGTGCTCCCCTATAAATCAAGTGAGCACTGGTCACTAAGTGAGGATGTGGGGAAGGTGCTAGCTGAATGCTGTGCATGCCTTGACCTGCCCCCATCAAGGCTTAGGAGAAATGTGACAGTGTACCATTGTGCTTGCCTCAACCAGCTCCCATTGAGGCTTAGGGGGAATACACAAGCTGGAATGCTGTGCTGCTTCAAGTGGCCCCCACTGAAACTTGGGGGACACGTAGGAGTTGTGCTTCTACTTTGTATATTCTTGCCAGCCCCAGGAAGAAGAGTAATTAGGAGATGCTGTAGTTGGTGCTTCCATTATCAGCAACCCCATTGAGAAGAATAGAAGAATAAATTATTTAACCTCTCACTATGTTTCCATTACTGTCCTCCTGGCTGCCCCAATCAGGAGTGAACCTGCTAGAGGCCACAGGCCAAAACCTCCAGTGCTTCCTGCCTTACAACTGGCGTAGGCGGTAGCTCCTGTGTTACATATTATTACCCCCACTTTATAGATGAGGAAACTGAGGCAACCAGGTTAAGTGACTTGCCTAGGGTTACATAGCTATTAAATGTACCAGTCTGGATTTGAATTCAGGTCTTCCTCGCCCCAGGCCAGGAGCTCTATCCACTGAGCCACTCACCTAGCTGCCTGAAGAATACATGTACCTATTTCAACTCAAGACCAAACATATTTCAATTGCTCTACGCTGAAAAGGAAACACTTTAGAACCAGATCAAACTAAGGGTCTCAGGATTTGGAGCTGGACAAGCCTTTGGGGATCACCTAGTCCAGAAGCGTCACACAAAAGGGCCATATTACTAAAGAGTGCATCTGAATCAGATTAAAATGGAATTGAGAAATATTTAACAAAATTAAAATAAATAAATAAAAATTAAAAAAAAAAGACCCCATAGATAATGTTAATCTGGGGTTCGTCGAAGTCAATATGTTACCCTCAGGGAGCCTTACTAAGTTTTAGCGGCCTCCATTTCAATTTGAGTTTAACATTCCTGCTCTAGTCTGAGCACTTCGTTTTACAGAGGAGGAAACAGAGGCCTATTAGGGGTTCAATGACTTGACAGAGGTCATGCTGGTAGTGAGCAGCAGGGTTAGAATTTGAACTTGCATTCTTTGACTCTAAATCCAAAGTTCTTTCACAACAGCAGCTGCTGCTTGCTGAATACAGGCCCCTAAATTCTACTGCTGTAAATATTTCCTTACAAATTGCTTTTCTGTGTGTAATTTGGAAACTATTCTGATTTTGGCACTCGACAGCAATTGTAACAATAAAGTTAACTTAACAGAATTTCCGAACATGCTTTAAAATTTTCAAAGGTATTTTTTTTTAATTTAAAAACAACTTCATGATGGAGGCTGTGCATGTATTATCATCCACCACCCCTTATATAGATGAGAAACAGACTATTAAGTAAGGTAACATTTTTCCAAAACCAATCCATCCAGTAAGATCCACAGCACAAATGAGAATATCACAGATTCCAGGCTGGTAGGGTCCCAAGACTATCAAATCCAAATTCTTCATCTTAAAAATGAGTAAACTGTGGCCCAGACAGGTTATGTCACTTGCATAGGGTCAGTCATACAGCAGCAGGAGAGTCAAGATTCAGACCCAGGTACCCTAGACTCCAAGTCAAATGCAGTTTCCATGATCCCATACAACCTCAAATAAGAGCAGGAGCTTATGGTAACTTAGGAATATTTGGTATATGTGATTCTGATACAGATGTCCACAGCAGAAGCAAACCAAAACGGGCAAGACTAGAATTTGGCTTTTGTTTTGTTTTTGGAGACCAGATTTCCCTACTTTGCCCATAGGGCAGCTAGGTGGTAAAGTGGATATAATGCCAGGCCTGGAGTCACAAATACTCATCTCCCTGAGTTCAAATTTGGCCTCAGATACTTGCTAGCTGTGTGACCCTGGGCAAGTCACTTAACCTTGTTTGCCTCAGTTTCCTCATTTGTAAAATGAACTGGAGGGAAGAAAAAAAAAAAAGGCAAACTACTCCAGCATCTTTGCCAAGAAAACTTCTGATAATGGGGCCCCGCAGAGTAGGAAGGAAATGACTGAAAATGACAAAAAACAAAAACTTTGCTCAAAGTGGGATGTGCAGTGGCCACTCAGGACTCGATCCCACTACTGATGGGCATGGACGCTTTACCTCACTTTGTTTTTCCAATCTGGGCCCTCCATGTCCCCTTAGACAGCTTTTAGCCCTACTGCAGTTCAGAACTCATGAGCTCAAGCAACCTAGCAGCCTCGGCCTCCCCAGTGGCAGGGACTAACAGGCCTGTGCCCCTCTGCCTTGGCAAGGCTTGAGTTTGTAAAGAAATCTCAAGACAGGAAACGCTGGCTAGTCAGGGTCATACCTGTGGCCAGGGCGGCAGTGGTTGTCACCGTACTGTTGCTGGCCGTGGCAGCTGACGACTTCGAGGCACTGTGCGCCGTTGTGCTTGGAGGCACACTTCTTGTGGTAACCAGAGGTCTCACGGTGCTGTTGGCTGCCAGTGCTGGGAGTCTGGTTGTTACCTGAGGGGCTTCTGTAGTTTTGTTGGAAGAGGCTGATGTGTTCGTGGAAGGTGGAGATGTCACTGGCTTGGTGGTGGCACATGTCAGGTTTGATTGCATTACTGTGCCATTGGCTGTAACTCTCAGCATTTCATCTCTGGTCTGGTTGGTCTGTGTTGTATCTGTGATTTTCATTAAGAGAAAACAAAAAAGTCATTAATTTTGGAAATAGGCTGGGGAGGGAATAGGGAAAATGAGAGCCCATTTTATTTGAAAATTCTATCATTTTCCTATTAAATTATAGTTATAATTGGCATGATTGAGAAAGGGGCATTCAATAACATGGAATACACTGGACAATTAAGTCAGAAAGCCTAGGGTCTAGTCCTGGCTCCTAACTTTGGATCAGTCACAACCTCTCTGGACCTCACTATCCTCATCTGTAAAATGACAATGATATTCATACCATACTTCTCTCAGAATTACAAAAATCAAACCAGAACATGCACCTGAAAGCACTTTTGGAAACAACAAAGCAATGTATGTATACACAGCTAGTAAGTGTCAAGTGTTTGGTCTGAGGCCGGATTTGAACTCAGGTATTCTTGACTTCAGGGCCGGTGCTCTATCTACTGCACCACCTAGCTGCCCCAAATGTACGTATATCTTGTAATCATTATTCTTCACTGTTCACTGAAAACAAGTTAAGGAGGGAATAAGCAAACCGAAGCCGATTTGGATTTAGATTGGCTCTCAGAAAGAACTTCCTATATCTAAAGAGGTAGCTAGGTGGCGCAGGGGATAAGAGTGCTAGGCCTGAAGCCAGGAAGCCTTGAGTTCAAATCCAGCCTCACATGCTTACTGGCTGTGTGACCCTGGGCAAGTCACTTGTTTGCCCCATCTATGAAAAGGGGATAATGATAGCTCCTACCTCCCAGGGCTGTTCAAATGAAATAATAAAGGGCTTAGGCCAGTGTCTGTCACACACTAAGTGTTGTATAAATGTTAGCTCCTATTACTGACTGTACCATTACTCACTAATGTCTTCTCCTTTGAGGTTCACTCAATTCACAGTGCTCATTCAATCAAAATTCTGGTGGCTTTTGTCTACAGACTTCCAGTCCACTTCTCTTTCTTCCTCAAGGACTTTGGTAACTGGTTCACATTCTTCTCTACCCCTACCCTACCCCTTACTTGGGGGCTCTCTAATTCAGCCACCCTGATTTTTTTCCCCGGGCTATCATCCTCCCATACCAGAGACACTCTTCTCCCTTCCCCATCTTGACACCTTGGTGAACCAGTTCAGCTCTCTACTCTAGTCCCTCGCCCCAATGTTGTCCTGCCAAGCCTCTGCCTTGGATCACTCCCACCATCCATTGCCTTTTTTCTTATTTATATGCTACTAAACAAAACTGGAAAAAATTGTGGAACCATGATGACTGGAGATTGACTAAAAATTTATGTTATTCAGCCTCAACTGGGACCTCACTGTGGAAAGGCAATCCTTTCACACTTCTAACTGATTCACTATCCTACGCACCACAACAACTTTTCCAAACAATTTTCTCTCTCTTCAAGCCTCCCGTCACATTCTTACCCCATCTCAGCTGAGAGCTCTTTTTTCTTCCCTGGTCTTTGTGTCCTAAGACTTGGGTGACCTCCTCAGTGAGTTTGGTGCCTGGCTCATAGCTAGGAGGCCTAGGGGGTAGAGTACTGGGCCCAGAGTCAGGAAAATCTGAGTTAAAATCCAGCCTCAGACACTTGCTGGCTGTTGTGTCCCTAGACAATCACTTAACCTGTCTGGCTCAGTTTCCTCAACTATAAAATGAGGATTGATGTTAGGATCAGATGAGATCACCTTTGTCGAGTGCTGAGTTGAATAAATGCTTGTTTCCTTCCTTCCTCCACCATCTCTCACATGTAAAGGTGGTCCTTCTCCTGGCCAAGACAAACCTCTGCAGGCATGTGAGGCATGGGATCTCGTTCCGCCCTGTCTTCTTCAGCAGATTACCCCTTCTGTCACACCCCCTACTCACCCACTAATCTTCAATCTCTCCCTGCTTACTGGCGGCTTCCCTGCTGCCTACAAATAAATCCATGTCTCCCTCATCCTCAAAAAACCTTCACTTGATCTATCCATCCCTACTAGCTATCATCCTAGATCTCGCCTCCCTTTGGGGGCTAAACTCCTTGAGGCAGCCGTCTATAATCAGTGTCTTCACTTTCTTAAATCTCTGTAGTCTGGCTCCCATACACATCATTCAACTGAAACTATTCTCTCCAAAGTTACCAATGATCTTTTGATGGTCATGTTCAAAGGCCTTTTTTTAAAAAAATTTTTCATATTAGTCATATTGTAAAGAAGAATTAGAACCAATGGAGAAACCATGCGAAAGAAAACAAGCAAACAAACAAACAAAAGAGCAAATAATATGCTTCAATTTGCATTCAGACTCCATAGTTCTTTTTCTGGATGTGGACAACATTTTCCATTATGAGTCCTTTGGAGCTTTCTTGGATCCTTGCATTGCTGAGAAGGGCTAAGTCTATCAAAGTTAGTCATCGCACATTGTGGCTGTTACTGTGTACAATGTTCTCCTGGTTCTGCTCACTTCACTCAGCATCAGACCCTACGAGTCTTTCCAGGTTTTTCTGAAGTCCGCCTACTCATCATTTCTTATAGCAGAATAGTATTCCATTACATTCATATGCTACAACCTGTTCAGCCATTCCCCAATTTCCAATTCTTTGCTACCATGAAAAAAGCTGCTATCAATATTTTTGTACATGTGGGTCCTTTTTCCATTTGTATGCTCTCTTTGGGACACAAACCTAGACGTGGTCTAAGAGTATGTGCAGTTTTATAGCCCTTTGTGCATAGTTCCAAATTGCTGTCTAGAATGGTTGGATCAGTTCACAACTCCACCAACAATGCGTAAGCGTCCCAATTTTCCCACATCTTCCCTAGCATTTATCATTTTCCTGTTTTGTCATATTAGCCAATCTGCTAGGTGTGATGTGGTACCTCAGAGTGGTTTTGATTTGCATTCCTCTAATCAAGTGATTTAGGGCATTTTTTCATATAACTATAGATAGCTTTAATTTCTTCATCTGAAAACTGCCTGTTTATATCCTTTGACCATTTATCAATTGGGGAATGACTTGTATTCTTACAAATTTGACTCAGTTCTCTATATATTTTAGAAATGAGGCTTCAAAGGCCTTTTCTTGATCTTCATCCCTCTTGACCTCTCTGCAGGGTTGGATATTTTAAATAACCCTCTTCTCCTTGATATTCTTTTCTCTCCAGTTTTCCACAACAGAACTCTTATTTTACTCCTTCTACCCATTTCTCAGTCTCCTTTGATGGATCCTCATCCATGTCATGCCTGCTATTCCCCTAGCCTCCATCCTGGGCCCTTTTCTATTCTCCTTCTTTACTATTCCACTTGGTGATCTCATCAGTTCCCATGGATCCAGCCAACATCTCTATGCTAATGATTCTCAATTTTATTTGTCCAATCCCAACTTCTCTATTGATCTGTCTTGCATTTCCAACTTCTAAATGTGTATCTTAAATTGGATGTCCCACAGACATTTTAAACTCAACATGTCCAAAACGGAACTCATTATCTTTCCCCCAAACCCTCCTCTTTTCCTAACTTCTTTATTATTGTTCAGGGCACCACAATACTTGCTTACCCATTCTCTTTCATCTTGTCCCCTCCAATCATTTGCCATGTCCAGTCTGCCTTCAAAACATCTCTCATGTATGGTCCCTTCTTTCTTTTGACACTGCTACCACTCTAGTACAGGTCCTCAAGAACTCAAACCTGGACTACTGAAATAGCTTTCCGACTGGTCTTCATCTAAAGTCTCTCTTCACTCCAGGCCATCCTCCACTTAGCTGTCAAATTAATATTCTCAAGGCACAAATCTCACCATGTCAACCCCCATCCCTAGCACTCCCCCTTAATGAATTCCAATGGCTCCCTAATTACTTCCAGGATTAAATATGAAATCCTTGGTTTGGCTTTCACAGCCCTTCATAACAACCACAGCTTCTTCTTACCTTTCCAATTTTACACTTTACCCTCCTCTTCCTCTGTGACCTAGTGACTCTGGCCTCCTTGCTGTGCCTTGCACAAGGCACCCCATATCCTCCCATGCCTGGAATGTTCTGCCTTCTCATCTCTACCATTTGGCTTCCTTCAAGTCTCAGGTAAAATCCCACTTTCTGCAAGAGACCTTTCCTACTTCCCCTTAATGCCAGGTCATTCATTCCCTCTGCTATTATCTCCGGTTCATCCTGCTTATATCTTGTCTGTATTTGGCTGTCTGCACACTGTCACCCATATTTCACTGAGAGCTCCTTGGGAATAGGGACTATGTGCCTGGCACACAGTACATACATAATAAATCTTGTTGACTTGAGTGTTGTTGAGGGCTGTTAAGGGGTTCCCCTGAACTCGTCTTTTTGAGTTGCCATATTTTCCAGAAACACTGGACCCCGAGCACGCAAGAGGCCCCGAGTGTGTCAAGGACAAAGCTCTTCCTGAGCTGACACACTTTGTTGTTGCACCCCAAGCTGGACTCTCTGTGTTTCCTTGGCAGGCAAGACAGGTGCCAAGCAGTCTGCGATAATGCTCATGCAGCTGAGGTCCTCTGCAGAGAAGGAGACCCTCCCATCTTCATAGTCTACAGGTTCCAAAGGGAAAAGAATGTGGCTTTTGCCATCACCTTGTTCCTTCCCTTCAGTATGGGTTACTGTACCTTTCCCCTCCCATGCCATGCCCCTTCCTGTTTTCTCCTCCTCCTTTTGTTATGTCCTAACTATGCAAACTTCTGTAAGGATTATGAACCCTTTGTGTTCCACGTGCATGTTCATTTCTCTTTTAACAAACCTTGTTTTCACATAAGTCTCATGACATTGTGATTGCCTATTGACAGGGTATAGTGTTATTTTTGTTCAGTTGTGTCCAGCTCTTTGTGGCCCTATTTGGGGTGAATTTCTTGACAAAGACACTGGAGTGGTTTGCCATTTCCTCCTCTAGGTCATTTTACAGATGAGGAAACTAAGGCAAACAGGGGCAAGTAATTTGCCCAGGGTCACACATCTAGTAATTGTCTGAGGCCAGATTTGTATTCTGGAACATGAGTTTTCCTGACTCCAAGCCTAGTG